CCCCCCCGCCCCCGGCTTTACTAGATGATTGCCAGCTTGCTCACAGAGATGTCTGTGCCAGGTGGCACCCTGTAACAGTGTGCCATTGGTAGGCTTTGTAACTAATGTCATTCTGACATGCCCCCTTTGCTACCTCCTGGCTGCAGGAGGGAGTAATGAGGGGGCAGGGGCTGGTACAAGGCATCCCACACCCTGGCACCCACTAGGATCATTAGGATGGCTTATCTGACCTTGTCCTCAGCTGTAAGATGGCTTTCTCCTCTTTTCAGGGGGCTGAGACTAGGTGGGCCCTGCTTTTAAGCACAGGGCCCGGCCATGCACTCAGGATAGGAGCGGGAGAGTGCTACAGCTTACGTTTAATTTTTACCGGTGGGGACTCTTTTCTTGTATCTAGTATCTTTTGTACTCGGCTTTGCTAGCAATTTGGAACTGAGAGGGGCCTGGGGGCCACCCCAAGCCTTCATCCTGTCACTGGGGAGGAGGGCAGGGGTTAGCTTTGCCTGGATATGTTTCCACGCAGCCTCCACACAGAATGTGAACTGTGGTTCCCAGTTCTTGTCCTTTTACAGATTGTTCTAGAATTGCTGAGACCGGGGCTCCTGGGCGGCTCAGTCAGTTGGGCGGCTGACTTCGGCTCAGGTCATGATCTCACAGCTCGTGAGTTCGAGCGCCACGTAGGGCTCTTTGCTGACAGCTCAGAGCCCGGAGCCCGCTTCGGATTCTGTGTCTCCCTCTCTCTGCCCCTCCCCCGTTCACACTCTGTCTCTGTAACTGTCTGTCTCTCAAAAATAAATAAACATTAAAAAAGAAAAATAGAATTGCTGAGACCGTGGGCTCCCTGCTCCCTTCTCTCCCACTTGCCAACCTTTGAGGGGAGGGCGGGACAGGCTGCCATCCAGACTCCCCTGCCGCCTCCCCCACCCCCAGCCTTGGCTGACTTTGGTGACTTTCTGGAAACTGGAGACGAGGGGCACCCCTGCTCCAAGCAAGCACTGTGCTGAGAGCATTCTGTCTTGTCTGCATCCTCTCCATCCTGTTCTGCTCTAGACGAGGATGCCGTCGTCCCTTGAGGTGACGACATGAGCCCAGGTGGTCGAGGAACTGGGACTTGGGCCCAATTAACGACAAGAGTACCTAGGCTCTGAGGGTTGGTTCAGACTGTAGATCGCTCTTAGCACTGTGCCTCCCCCGCTCGCTGCCCTTGGGCCTAACCACCCAACGCCCCTGCCAACTAGCCCGCTCCAACTTCCACTTCTCTCTCTCTCCCTAGAGACAAGAGGAGCAGCAGCGACACCGCCCCTCACCCTGGAGGGTCCTGTACAATCTCATCATGGGACTCCTGCCCTTACCCAGGGCCCGCGGGGCCCCGGAGATGGAGCCCAATTAGGTGCCTGCACCCGCCCGGTGGACGTCGGGGACTTGGGGGGCAGGACCCTCCCACCTCCTGATGCCCTGGCCAGCGCGGGGGACTTTTTCTGCACCATGTAGCATACCGGACTACCAGCCCTGCCTGTCCCAGGGGCGGGCCAGGGCAGCCACTCCAGCCCCAGCCCCGGGCCTGGCCTGGGTGCGCTGACGGAGATGTGGACTCCTGGGTCCCTGGCGGAGAAGCCAGGGGAGAGAGGGCTGACGGACTGAGCGTCTGAAGGCGGCGGTGACGGAGAGGGTGGGGACAGAGCCGCCCGCCTCTGCCGCCCACCACCATCTCAGGAAAGGCTGCTGGTGCTGGCTGCCCGTTCCAGCTGCAGGGGTGACACTGGGGAGTCTCCCTCCCAGTGCCCCTTCACTTTGGGCCTGGCCTCAGGCCCCTGGTGCTTCCCCCCCTCCTCCTGGGGAGGGGGCCTGTGAAGAGCAAATGAGCCAAACGTGACCACTAGCCTCCTGGAGCCAGAGGACGGGGTGGGTCTGATTGGCTGCCCCAGCCCAGCGCCCAGCCATCTTCCCTGAGCCAGCCGGCGGGTGGTGGGCATGCCTGCCTCACCTTCATCTGGGGGGTGGCCAGGAGGGGCCCAGACTGTGAATCCTGTGCTCTGCCCGTGACCACCCCCCGCCCCCATCAATCCCATTGCATAGGTTTAGAGAGAGCACGTGTGACCACTGGCATTCATTGGGGGGGTGGGATATTTTGGCGGAAACCGCCCCAGCCTTAGTCCCCAGGGCGAAGCGCTGGGGGGAAGACAGGGGAGTCAGGGAGGGGGGGAAATCGCAGAAGAGGGAGGAGTCTGGGAGTGGGGAGGGATGGCCCAGCCTGTAAAATACTGTATATGCGCTGCTGTAGATACTGGAATGAATTTTCTGTACATGTTTGGTTAATTTTTTTTGTACATGATTTTTGTATGTTTCCTTTTCAATAAAATCAGATTGGAACAGTGAATGCTTTCTGCTTTCTTTCTCCCCTGCATGCTCTGGTCCAAGCCTCTGTGACCCCTATGTGGGAGGAGGTGGGAGAGGGGGTCCATGGAGCACATTGGTCTGTCTAGCTGTATCCGAAGTGAGACTAAACAGCACAGGTACCACAGTATGTACCCAGTCTTCATCCCCATCAAAAGCAAAGCCTCATGGAGGGCAGGGTTGTTGTTTTTTTTTTAAAGACTTTATTATTATTTAAAAAATATTTTGGGGAGAGCGCAAGTGGAGGAGGGGCAGAGAGAAGGGGAAAGAGGATCCGAAGCCGGCTCTGCGCTGACAGGCTGACGGCAGTGAGCCCCATGCTGGGCTCGAAACCACCAACTATGAGATCGTGACCTGAGCTGAAGTCAGACACTCAACAGACTGAGTCACCCAGGCGCCCCTAAAGATTTTAAAGTAATGTGGACACCCAGCATGGGGCTTGAACTCACAACCCAGAGATCAGGAGTTGCAGGCTCCACCCAGAGAGCCAGCCAGGCATCCTGAAGGCAGGACTGTTTTTGTCTTTTTTTGGTGCTTTCTTCTCACTTCTTCCCTGCTGGAGGAAGTATGTCCTGGAAGCTCAAAATATTTACCGAACATATGAGTGACCTGTAACTTATTCAGAAGCACCACCATGAAGAGTCCCTGGGAAATGTGTTGGTAAGGAGGTGGACCTTGTCCCCACCCTCAAGAAGGCAGGTGACATCGGGGAGAGCACCTCAGGCTAAGATCAAAGTGAAGTTTCACCTACACGCGGCTGCCCTAGAGCCTAAGACGCGGCCTGGCATAAAAAGCCTGTAATTAATTAGCGGGGCTCCTACCGCTATCTTCCTGAAAACGGGCAACTGGCCAAATGCTTTCCCTATGCCCTCTCCTACACGACTGGCCCAGACACAGGTTGTGCTTCGGGCAGTCCTCACCCGTAAAGGGGAAATTCAGGGGAAATGGTCCTTCTCCTGAAAGACCGGGGTAAGGTAACCGGGATCCATCACTTTGGACAGGGATTTGGCAACAGCTCGTCAAGCAAAGGATGCACGTAATCTATGCCAGCAATCGCCTTCCCGGGTGTCCTCCCTTAGCAGTGGACGCGCACAAGTGTCCATGTGTTGGCCAACCATCCGACACAGTGTCCAACAGCAGTTGAAAGGGTCTCAAGCCGTGCAACAGACAGCACTTAGCCGGAATGAACTAGAACACTGCGAATGACAAATGATGGCGAGGAAAGCAAGTGGCAAAATGGTGGTGGGTACTTGGGTGCGTCTTCTTCTCCAGATGGTCCCTTGTGCTTAAATGCCTGTGCGCAGAGCCGGAGGCCCCTGGAAGTGGGGTGGGGTGAGGGGCGGTGGTGTTCACACCCAGCTGTGTGGCAGCCGATGCTTCCTGCCCCTGCAACCGATTCCTTCCTCTTTCCAGCAAGTTTGTGGAAATATTGATAGGGCCAAATTGGATCTATCGATTTATTTACTTTCCCTTTCCGTTCCTCTTTCCTCTCTCCTGTCTTCTGTTGGATTTATGAATGCTTTTTTGAATGCTTTGAGACTTCTCTCTTGGTCCTTCAGCTTTTAGTACTGCTCTAGGGATTAAACACACATCCTTACCTCTTCTCGGTCTATTTAGGGTCAGCATTGAACCACTTCACTTACACGGTAGAGATGGCCACTGCGTAGGCCGCTGGTCCGTCCCACCCTTCCCATCATTTTGTAGCTCCAGCTTACATCTCCACGCATTACAGATTCCGCAAGGCAAGGCCAGAACTTTTGCTTGAACTTGAAGGACTTCCATTAACATTTTGTATAGTGTAGCCAGTGACAAGTTCTCTTCAGTCTCCGTTTATCTGAAAACGGCTGGTCTTCACTGGCTATAGAATCCTGGGGTTGACCGTTTCTTTGCCATACCTTGACGACGTTCCGATCTCTGGCCTCCCATTTCTGATGAGAAATCCAGGATCGCCTGAATCACAGTTCCCTTGATTGTAGTACGTTATTTTGGTAAGGCTGCTTTCAAGACTTTATTTAAAAGGTCTTTTCCTCTTTTTCAGGCTGGATAATTCCTATGAATGTAGTTCCAGTGCATGAAATTGCTCAACCCCTTTCTGCTGTTAGGTCTACCAGTGAATTTTAAAAATTGCTGATATTGTATCTTCAGTGTTAGAACATCCATTTGGTTGTTTCCATTTTCTTTCTCTGTGGGGACTTCCTATTTTGCAACATTATACATGTATTTTTCTTTTACCTCAATGAGCGTAATTGTAGCAACTGCTTTAAAGTCCTTGTCTGTTGATTCCAACTTTTTTTTAATTTCCTTAACATACGCTCCCGCTCCACGCCCAGTGTGGGGCTTGAACTCACAACCATGAGATCAAGAGTCATGTGCTCTGAGCCAGCGAAGCACCACCCCCCCAACACTTGGGTTCTCTTGGTCATCTTGTCTTTTCCCTTGAAAATGAGTCACATTTCCCTCATTCTATGTATATTGGGTAATTCTGCCTTGTGTCCTGGATAGTGTTACATTGTAGCCATTCTGGATTCTGTTATATTCCTCCAAAGGATGTGAATGTTCTTGTCTTGGGGAGATCTGGAAATCCCAGACTCACACTGTTGTAGTTGCTGACAGTGTAAATCCAGTTTGCTTCAGTTATGCTGAGTTGGCCCCACACATCCATAGCCCAGTGGTCAGCAAGAGACTTGGGTTGAATTTATACATACAACTTGGGGTTTCCCTTCCCTGGCACCCTCCTTTCCAGTAGCTGTGGTTATTCGGGGTTCTGTCCTCTGCTTCTTCAGGCCAGTAAGATAGACGCTTTACTACCTGAGTTTTAGCTGCCTAGCACAGTGCCAGGGGCCGCGGCCTGTCCTCAGTTAACACCGTAGGCAAACACACACACGCCAGAAAACTACTGTGGTGGGGGCTCTTGCTGCAACTTTCAACTGCCTCCCCCAAATCCACCTGCTTTTTAATCGCCATCCTGAGGTTTCCAGTAGTTTTGTTTTGGTTTTTGGTATTTTGTCTAGAATGTATAGTTATCTGCAGGGAGACGGTTGTTAGAAACCTAATGCATCATACCATAAGCAGAACTGCTGGTGTTTTTTTTTTTTTTAATGTTTACTTATTTTGAGAGAGAGAGAGAGAGAGATCGAGAGGAGAAAGAGCAAGCAGGAGAGGGGCAGAGGGAGAGGGAGACAGAGAATCCCAAGCAGGCTGCCACTGTCAATGCAAAGCCTGATTCAGGGCTCGAGCCTATGAACTGCGGGATCATGACCTAAGCCAAAATCAAGAGTCGGATGCTTAACTGACTGAGCCACCCAGGTGCCCTTGTATTTTCTTTTTAATAGACCTTAGTTATCATTTTTTAGGACTGGAAGTGGGGAATCCTAACTCTCCAGGTTAGATGGAGAGTCAGGGGTCCAGGGACAAAGTCAGAGAAGGCCAGACTTTATTAGCAAAGTCCAAAGCTCTCCTAGGAACACAAAAGGCGGCTCACTTGTTCCGGAGGGAATGGAAACACCTAAAGTCACCTCTGTGGCCTTTTCTCTCAGAACCAAGGTGCTGAAGTCCTGCAACTTGGCAGAGTTGAGACTCGGAGCGCCTGGCAAATGAGGTCCAGGACTGAACCTTTGCCACTGGCGAGCTGTGCCCCCTCTAGCAAGCTAATACCCAACTTGAACTGGTGCTCCCCACCCAGCTCCAGTAATCCCACCCTGCAATGGTGGCTTCTGGAAGGGACAGATTTACTTTTCATTGTTTATGTTGTTTTTTTCTTCCTTAAAAAGACTGCATGTCTTTGTAAACCTTTCAAGTTCTGCACTATGTGCCCAAATGATCTCTCCAAACAACAAATGACATGTAAAATGCTACCATGCTAGTCTTTTGGAAGGAATCAACATCCCAAATGCATTTATACACTCCCTGATGTCAGACTTTGGGAAGTCTTTCCCAAGCGTGTCCAAAGGAAACCAGTTCAATGTCACTCAACAGCAGACTCATTAAATAGCTTCTGGTTCAGTGTGGTTTTGGAACTCAGTGCACAATGCACTGACAAGGACCTCCAGGACATAGAGAAAGCAAGATGCAAGAAAAGCTAATTCTACATGTGCGTAACAGTAACTAACACAAAGCGATTTCCATTCAAAGAATGTATTCATTCAACTCCCACATATCAGGGGAAATTACCCCATTTGACACATGGGGCAACAGAGCCACAAAATGGTCACTCGTCCAAGGTCAC